AAGCAAGCAAATGATCTCAAGCACGTCCCACAACCATGTCTCACCCCAGGATATCCTGCAAAGTTTGAGGCAAAAGCCTAGTAGTTCTGTCTATGAAAAACATACCCACTTAATATTCTTGTATATCCCAACACATAACCAAGTTAATTTAAAAACTATACTATTTGATAAGACTATTCTCTTACATCGGAGATGGGAAGCCTCAGGTCTAGGAGCCAAATGCAGCCTTCTAGGGCCCCTTTATCCAGCCATGGGCCTCTCCCCAGCCACACACCCTGGTTTTTAGGCAACACCCCTCACTAGCTCTGCTTTGCATTTCCCCTTGAGTGTTTTTGCTGGCAGAACTATGTCCCTGATTTCTGATAATGCTTCTAGCTTGTGTGAATGAAGGACAGAGAGGAGTGTGTATGTGTAGAATTTAGCCTCTTGTACAAAGATAAAATTCACATTTGTTGCTCTGCCCACTTTGGCCTATGGCCAATCCCACAAATGGCATGTGGCCCCCACAAGTGAATGTGACACTTGAGCTGAAAAGTTCCCTGCCTAAGCCGTACATGGCTTTACAGCTTCTGGCCTACTACTCTTAATGGCCAGCTGATAGGAGCCAATTGCTATGAGATAGTCAATCATCCCTCCATTGTGTCTGAAGAGATAGCTAAAGATTCAAGGTGGTGACTCCACACACACACCAGTTAATGGAAGGGGCTAAGCAATAGTTTGGGCATAAATGAGGCAGAGCAGTCAGAATTAGCTAAATGCTAGAAGTATATCTGGGGTCTGGCCTGTTCTCTGGGGATTTGATATGGTGTAATAGATCTTCTACTTCATGGGGTGTCTGCTCTTTCTCTGCATTCCTGTTTTACTTGTTTATTTGTAGATTGAGCAAAGAAATACAGTTAAGCGCTCCAATCCAGAGAAAGCTAAACCCAGAGCAAGCTACCCTATAACTGCATTGCTTGGGGAAGTGAAGAGTCCATGCCACAATGGCTGGGTATGCACTTCCCATCTTCTCTGAATCCAATGCATGCCCACCGCTTATTTGGGAAGTCATGTACACACAATATTGGCTCCAATCTATATCTATCTATCCTGTTGCATCCTGTGAAATTGAGAAAAAGAAGACCTAGCTGTATTTTAAGATGCCAATGTGTCTACATCCAGTATTTTGGCTTCAGACCAAGAGGTTTATCTCCAATGCTCACTCCCACCTTTTGAAAATCATTAAGTTCTAATTGTACTCACTTTTATTTGGCCCACAGGTGGTAACCTTATCATCTATGAAGTCAGACAGATCCCCTCAGGAAATCCTCTATATTATTATATCATGATCATCATCATTTGACTAGCAGGAAGTGCCCGGTGCTGCCTGGGTATTTTTAGAAACCTTTTTTAAAAATGGATAGATAATGCAATTTGTGAGTTTGGACCTGTGACACCAAAAATCAGGTGCTGCCAATCCAAACTCATGTTTTGGTCCACCATCTTGATTCAAAATGGTGCCTGGCATCTAAACATCAATGAAGACTGCTGTCCCCACCTTGGGAAGGAACCCTTGTGCCAAGTTTAGCAACGCTATCTCAAGAGGCGTCTGAATATAAAGAGAAGAAACAGAAGACAAGACAAACCACTTTCCAAAATATATAGTGAATTGATTGATTGATTCATTTACCGCTTTAGTGGTTTACAAATATAAAACCAGTTTAAAAAGGATGGCCATGCATAATTAAAATATGCAATAAAACAATGTCATAAAACATTCATAATTAAAATGCCAAACAAACAAGGCCTTTAAAACAACCTATATATCTATATATACACAAACAATTAAGTATGGCTTCCTCCCCATTCCCCAAGCTAGTTAGGAAACTCACAGCATCAGGAAAGTGCCTGCTGCTCTCAGTGCAGTAAACGAGGACCACCTGCAGGGCCACTGAAGAGATTTGTACTGTAACACCACAGATCTATGCAGCTAATATCTGATGAAGTTCATGCTGCCACTTAACTTACAAAACAGGCATGCAATAATGCAATTTGATAATTGAGCCACGGAGTTCAGAGTGCAGTTGTGGTCTTTCAAAACAAGACTATTTACAACAAGAAGCTGTAGTGTGGATGGAATGCTCTGGTTAGGGCTCCAGCCACACTGCCATCTTCCAGAATACTCTGCTCCTGCTCCCTCTCCCTCACCCACACACCCTGTTCAGCATTATGTGGTCAGTGAGGACACAATCTTCACTGGGCTGGGGGTTTGGGGGGTGCCCTTATCCCCCACCCCCAAAATAAGTTGGCTCAAAACACTGGTGAAGTTGCTGCTTTGACAAACTTCAAAAGAAGTGTTGGCGTAAGCTCTTTCCGAGAAAGTCAGTTGACAAGATGTGGTGCCGATTTAAACGCCCAGCCACATGACTTATCAACGTTCTACTTAGAAATGCTCCATGCATAAGTTCTGGTAACTCAAAACTGATGCTTCCTATGTTGTTTTGTTAGCTGCATACAAGGAGTGCACTTGCTTCCAATCAGCTACTGCTTTCTAACACACAAGCTTTTAGCATAATGCCTGTTCCTATCTTGGAAACAAAACTATTGAATCTAAGCAAAACAGCAAGTGGAACTCAACCTCCATGTAGATAAAAACCCTCAACTGATATAAAGGTAGGGTACCAAACCCCAACATTTAACTTTAAATAAGGGGTGTGTGAATGCTAGTAAATGAAGAATTGGGCTTCTGCTAGGATGTGAACTATACTATTCTTCAGACACAAGTCATCGTGTCCCCCACCTCACCCCCAGAATTCGTCAAAACTCTTAATAAAAATGCTTTATTACACTTGTTTCTTTGTATTATGCAAGGCATCTTGAAAATTACAAATAAAATTTTCACTTTGAGAACATGGCCTACATATCACTTAAGTCATCGTGTTCTCACCCATGTTTACTCAGCAGCAGGTGCCTGCAGTGGGATTTATTTCTAAATGAGTGTGTCTAGAATTGCAGGCATGCAACCCAACATAAATGCATGTTTGTTCAGAGTCAGGCCCCCACCAAGTTCAGTAGGGGGCTTACTCTGAGAAGATACTATGCATTGCCTCCTTAAAAATCCTACACTTATTTCAAATAAGATAAAACTGAATTTAGTGGACCTCGCATCAAAGCAGACAAGAGTAGGATTCTAGTCTCTTGAACACCAGTCTATGGGATGGTAAAGCCAGTCACAATGCAATTCTATACATGCCTACACAGCAGGAAGCTTCACTGGACTTACTCCTAGGTAAATTGATATAGGGTTACTGTCTTAATTGCTTAATTACTGTCTTTGCCTGCTAGAAGGATACTATGTCATGGTGGGTATTTTGGAAGATGTGCTTTTAGCTACTTTACATAAAAGTTACCATCAATATCCTGTTTTCCATCCAAAAAAATTAAGTTTACCCATGTATTTATTTATGTGAATTTAAAGCATTTATGAACTGCTTAATGTTTCAAAAATGCCCAAGGGATTCAAACATGTCCTTCCACAGAGGAGTTACAGAGAAGCCCACACTGGAAAGACTGCAGACCACAACTTCCTGTGTGGACAGAAAGTACATTGCAAGAACTCCTCTTTTCAGAATCCTTTGCATAACTACGGTACTTGGGGAGCTCAGTGGCATTTGCTTCAAAGTAAAACATGCAGGATTGCACCGCTGCTCATTCCCGATGAAGTCTCCAGTTATAATCCCCATGGTTGACTCGGCTTAATATGTATTACCAGCAAGGGACGTTATGTAGCCAGAAACTCATTTCAAACACATCTTCAGCTGCCTATTTCTTCTCCAGTCAAGGATATTTCAGGCCACACACCAAACACTTTCCAGGGACTGCCTCAAGGGAAGCAATAAGCCCCTAACGCTTCTTCCCCTCTGAACTTTTCTGCATCACCCTGCAACTTCACTCCATTTGCAAAGCAGCACTTACTGAAAGGACACGTCCGAGCACCCCAACGCCCGAAAGGCAGGAAGCGGAAAGGAAGCAGCTCACGACACACGCGACATTGGGCTGCAGGGCCCCCCAGCTCCCTTCCAGCCGCCTGACTCCAAGAAGCGCCCGCACTGGCCCAGGCTGAGGACCAAACCCCGCAGGAGAGGCCTGGAGGGAATCCGCTGGCCGGGACGCCTCTCGGCCAGCGCTCAAGCGCTTCAAGCTCTGGCCCCCCGGACTTCCTGGCTCACTTGCCTCCCGAGCCACCGAGTGCGACCAGGGCTCCTTGGCGGCCGCCCTCGCTCGCCGCCTTCCTGCGCCCCCGGCCCCCCTACAGCCGCCCAGAGCCTTGCCTCTTCCTCGCCAAGCCACCGAGGCGGGCACTTCCCAGCAGGCCAGCCAATCCGCCGGGCCGTTTCCACAGCCGCTTCGACCACGTCTGCTCAGTAAGCAGCCCGAGAAGGTGGAGCTTGGGGGGGGGGAGGGAAGGCTCACCGAAAAGCAGCAGCAGGAGCAGCCGGAAAAGCAGATGCGGCGTTCGACGGAGAGAAGAGGAAGAGCAGGAGCCCGGCGGTGGTGGTGGTGGCGGCGGCGGAGGCGACTCTGAAAAGCTGAGCTGGGGGCCCCTGTGATTGGCTCCAGAAGCTCCAGCTGTGCGCTATTTAAGGCCGGCAGCCCGGCGCCTGCTCGGGAGCCCGAGCGCGCTTAAAGGGAGCCGGAACGGAGCTCAGCCTCCCGAGGAAGGCACAAGACAGCGAGGGCGGCCAGCTAGCTCTCCTGACACCTGTCTTTCACCTCCTGCGGTGGCGTTTCCTAAGGATGCTGGAGAGCAACCAGTCCAGGGCGAGGCTCTTTCTCGCTCGCCCAAGATCCAGGCGTTGCGCTGACTCCAGCAGGCGGTGAGCGGCGCGGGCTGTGGGCGATCGGGGGGCTCTGCCATGTGCGCGGGGTCCGGAGACGGAGCCACCGGGGCTGAGCTTCGAAGGAGGGGCGGCGGGGGGAGGAGGAGCAGCAGCGCGTAGGGCCGTGAGAAGCAGCGGCAGCCCGGTTGCCCCGGCCGGCGCGCGCCATGGCGAAGGATGAGTGCAAGGCGCTGCTGGACGCGCTGAGCAAAGTGACGGCCTGCTACCGGCACATGGTGCTGACCATCGGCGGCACCTCGGACTCGCAGAACCTGCGCGAGGAGCTCAAGAAGACCCGGCAGAAAGCCCAGGAACTGGCGGTGGCCAACCGCAACAAGCTCACGGCCGCCTTGCGGGACAAGACGGTGAGCAAAGAGGACAGGGCGGAATTCGAGCGGCTTTGGGTCCTCTTCTCCACCTGCCTGGAGATCCTGGAGACCGACATGCGGCGCGCCCTGGAGCTGGGCCAGGAGTTCCCCCTCAACGTACCCAAAAAGCCGCTCATCCAGACGGGGATGAGCGGCGGCACCTCCGGGGTGGCCGCCCGGGCCATGAGCGTCCAGAACATGAAATACGAGGCGGACAACAACATCGACGTGGTGGATTTGAAGGACCTGGAGAACGAGATCAACCAAGTGGGGGAGATGATGTACGAGATGGAGATGAAAGTCAGCGTCCCGCAATGGACGGTGGAGGCCAAGCAGGACCCCGGGGCGGAGCTCAAGTCCACCATCAGCGTGGGCGCCTCCTCCATCGGCATGATCGAGGTGGAGGAGAGCAAGGCCTTTTGCGATATCAGCAAAGTGCTGGCCGGCATCATCTTCACGGCTGTCCTCCTCATCGCCATCATCCTGGCCGTGTGTGTGGCAAAGCTCTCCTAAGGTGGGGGATGCCAGGTTCAGGAGAAGAGTTTGGCTTTTCTTGATGAGGGAGAAAAAGGAGAGGCATTTGTTCCCCCAGATTATGGTTTTCCAAGCAAAAGGGTGGAGGGAGGAGGCGAGTATGAGATGGGATCCCTGTGCCGGAATAAGGGGCAGGGGATGTGTTCTGTTCAAGTCCTAAGCCTGAGGATTTGTGCGATATTCTAGCTTTAAAGAACAGTCCATCTAAGGTATGTGGGTATTACAACTCCCAGCCATAGTAGGGATTTGTTCGCTATTTATAGATGATTATTCTCAGTAAGCAGAAAAAAGTATTGTTTGTGAGTAGGTTCTACTGTTGGTCCATGTTTACAAACTGATTACAAATTGCACATGATTTGGAGATGGGAATTAATTCAGTGGCAAAATGGAGACACCTATAAATTTACATATAATTTCCAACAAACATAAATGATGTTGTGGTCCTGAGCTGAAGATTTGTTTTCTCTCTCTAAAAGAAGTGTGCTTTTAGCCCTGGGTGCTAAGCCTGATAGTATTTTTTTTTTTTTGGTGGGAGGGGGAGTTTAGAACCAAATGGTTTAAGAGACCTGAACTTCTTTTGTTTTATCGGAACTAATTGCACTTTGGCACAGCATACACTGTGAAAGGCAATCCAAATCTGCAGAAGAAAGATTAAGCACCATTTACAGAGACCTTAAGAAGCTCTGTGTTCAATTCACTGTTGCATAACGTATTCTACCACTTATAGTTTGCTGTGGGGTAGAACCAGTTCAGCTTCTTTGTTCACTGTCAGTCAAGTTTAAATGCCCATTTGGACCAAATCTTCCAGAAAGGATGCTGCATTATACCCCCCTTATACAGCGTGCACACATGCTGCATTATATATAATGCATATATCACATACCCACAGTAGGATTTACTCCCTAGTAGGTGTATTCATTGCCTTGAAATCATGTATGGATACACATACCTGAGCTGGGAGCAAGTCCCAGTGAATTCAGGATTTAATTCTGAGTAAATAAGATCGCACTGCACAACTCCCCTGGTTTGTGCATGGAAGCTGAACAGTGGTGTTTCTAAAACAGTGAAGCTAGAGTGCAGCAAGATCCCAAGTATGTTTACTCAGAAGCAAACTCTACTGAGTTAAATAGGACTTGCTCTCTGGTAAATGTGTTTAGAATCAAAGCTTTAAATGCAGGCTCTGGCTATAATCCTGAGCATACTTATAAAGAAGATTCCATTTATTTCAGTGGGACTTTCATATAATGTGTTTCAGATTTGGGGTGTCAATGTGGCCTAAAAACAAGCCACTATCACTGATTTTTTAATGCTGTAACAGCACGTTAAAACCTATGAATCTGCCTTGTGTCAAGTCAGACCATTAGTTCATCTAACACAGCATTATGTTTCTTTGCTCACTGGCAGTGGCTCTCCAGGGCTTCAGACAGGGGTCTTTCCCAGGCTTACCTGGAGATTCCAGAGAACCCTTTCCTGTGCTTGAGCTCCACTCTGATTCTATGGTGCAAAGAAGAGGCATGATCTCACGTTGACAGTCTGAAGTTTACACATGTACATCTCCTATTACTGTTAATGAGATTTACATATGTACCTGCCAGAGCCAAGAAGATTAGAATCAATCTTATAATCCTGACATACCCAAGACCTGGCACAAATGTGACTTGGATGGCAGCATTTGAGCACAGGGCTGTTGGAGCTAGACAGTGGAGCTAGATAAACATTATGTAAAAGAGAGCATTGCTCCTCTTTTAAGCTGTCTGTGGAACAGTATCTTTAAAGGGGATGCATGAGGCATTCCTGTGCAGACAAGGCCCTATCTGAAATGGCTTTTAAAGCAGAGTTTCATTTCAGTCACAGCAAGATTGTCAAGAACAGCAGTTCCACTCATTCAAACTACAAAGGTGTTACTGAACATTTCTAACCTCTTTAGCTGCAATTAGCAGTTCCAGGCAACAAAGTTAAGCAACTGAAAGTGTGGTCCCATCCCTGTCTACTTAGCAGTAAGTGAGACTTACTTCTGAATAAACGTGCTTAGGACTGTATTGCTCATGTACACAAAACATGCTTCTCTACTTGCCCCTTGAATTAACTGAGTTAATTGAAGTGGTGAGAAGATTTACAGGTCAAGCTTCAACCTCTTCAAACTTTTAAGTGCACAAGTCGGTGAAAACCTTAATCTGAACCCTTGGGTCTAACAAAGCCATGAGTTACAATTGTCCAGTGTCAGATTTCCTAGCAATGGTGATAATGTGTTTTGGACTGGCATTGTGATAGTGATATACTTTGCATGATAGGATGCCCTAAGTTCCTTTACACGAGTTCCTTAAGAGCTACTTCCACTTTCTCTATACCCATGATGGTGAACCTTTTTCAGCCCAAAGTTCACATTCCCTTCTGGGCAACTTTCTGGAGAGGATGTGTGGCCTCAGGAGAGTTCCAGTGGCTGAATAGAGAGACCTGGAGGCACATTTGGGCCCCAGACCTGAAGTTCACCCCTGCTCTAGACAGGACTGATCTACATGGTCTAACACTATGGGCTAGCTCATTACATTTAAATCAATTGGCTAACTCAAGAGCATCCACCCACCCAGCAACTGCTACAAGGCTAACAAGAATATATTGTGTGATTACTAAGAAGCAGGCAGCAAAATCTTATACCCTGACCCTAAGTCACTTGGGCTAAGAGCATGAGTCTCCTATTGACAAATCTGTTAAGTTTTATTAATAGAGCTATCCTGAATGTAATACTTGGAATTAGGTCCCATTAATTTCAAAGGAACTTCCATATGGCATGTTTAGGATTAGTATGCTTGTCTCATTAATGTCCTTGCAAACTGGATACGTGCAACCCAGTTCTCTGTATATTTACACGGAAGGTTATGTTGGACTCAATGGATGTCGGCAAACCTAAAAACACTTGAAAGCTAGTCAACATTGGGATAAGTGGGACCTACATGCAATAGGATCAGGCTGCATAGCTGCAATGCTTTTTGTACTTACTTGGAAGTAAAGTCCCATTGAACATAGCTGGACTTTAACTTCTGAGACAACATGCATAGGAGGCAGGGCTGCCAGTGAAAATCTATAGGTTCTGCCTTCAAATGCATATACTTAGGTATGTACCTGGCAAATCTATTAAGACTAATGATTTACTGACCAGTCTTGAACTCTTTCTATGTGAGTCCTACGTCATACCCACATTAGTTTCCTTAGAATTTTAAGTTTACACTTATTTACTTGTAAGCCAAAACTTAAAATTCTCTGCATATAGGTAGACCATATTTCAAGTCAAATATGCTCAAGATAGACTTCTGTCCTACAGGGATTTTATGGGAAACAATGCCCCGTAAGTATGCACAGAATGAGAGCCTAACTCCGTAACTTGCTTCTCTTTACGAATGAACCATTAATCTTCCTAAATATAAGTTATCTGAGTAAATTTGTGCTGAATGTTTGCAGGCAGCACTGGACAGCAGGCCGTCAAACAAGTCTTGGTTCTGTAGAGGTTGCAACCAGGCAAGACTTCAAAGCATGTTAACACATAAATAAATCCTCCTGTGTTCAATAAGCAAGACAGCAGCCTTAATTACTCAAGGTATCAAAAGTGTTTTGATATTTGATTGTAAATATGTGTTTAGTCCAAAATGGAATTGAGAGGTGGGATTTGGATTTTATGTATTTGATGTCAAAACTGTGTGCTCATATTGGTGCTAAAGTACCTATCTCTGCATATGTAGATAGACTCAAACTGCTGCTATTGATCCTGTGTTCTGACCACTGTTTCACTTCAAACATTGTTCATGAGAGGTAGTGATGGCTGTCTTCACTGCTACAAGGGCTAGACCTTTTTCTTCAGTGTGATTCACAAACTTTGCACTTAAAGCTGGTCTGCAAATGGCATTATTAAACTTGAGAGTGGGGGAACTGCATAGTTGGATTGCAGCTAGCAGTATTTTAATCAGAAACAGATTCTATATTCTTTGCACATTTAGAACTCCAAGGGTTGCATTTGTTCTGGAACAAACAGGAAATCCAGATTCAATAACTTTTTTTTAGTTCCAACTTGGGTGCAGTCATTTCTCTACTCATCTTTGTAAAAGTTTGAGGTTTGAGATGTAAATCTATTATGCTGACATACAAGATTTGTTTTCCAAATGATTTAAGACACAGGATTGCCACTATCTAATTACCTAATGGGTCCACCATTAATCTCCCATGATCGCCCAGTGTAATCACATGCGCAATGTGACCTAGGCACAGCTGCCTGACGCATGGTTTACTAAGCTGACCAGATGCAAAGAGGGTCAAGACTCTCATACCTTTAAATAGTGGTATGGAAGAAGACATTTTGACAGGTTTAGCCTGCTAGGCAGAAATCAATGGAATAAAATATAACAGCTAAAATTCTATGGAAATGTGAAAGATATGAGACACTGGAAGAACTTTATGACAGTAAGAGCTGTTCGACAGTGGAATGGACTCCCTTGGAAGATGGCAGTCTCTCCTTCCTAAGAGGTTAAGCAGCAGAGGCTGGATAGTCATCTGTCATGGATGCTTTAGTTGAGATTCCTGCATTGCATGGGGTTGAACTAGATGAGCATTGGGGTACCTTCTACAGTGCAATTCTATTATTCTGTGTCCTCTTCACTGGTCTCCCTATGGACAATGAGAGCAGAAGGTAGCAATCATTCCAGCTTGTTTTGTGGGAATAAATTACTGTTGAATTATTAGAAGTTGCACTTCAGGCCACCCCAGTCAAAACTTGGTTTCACCAAATTCATGGACATTTGTCACTTCCAAAAATAAAAGCCCAGCACATCTCTAAACCCTCCAGAAGTTTTTTAAAGGCTAAGGGACCTATCTTGATTGATAAACTGGTTTAGAGGGCATAAGAGAGCTTGAAAATGTTATCCATGTTTTAGAGACCATTTGTAACTTAAAAGGTGAAGTGAGAAAAACCAGAAAGCTAAGTAGTAAGGACTTTTCATAATTTCCCTTTTTGTGGTAGAATTAATATATGTCCATTCACATATTTAAACTTTGTTTTGCATGAGCATGCCTAGCTGTCCTGGAAATATTACATATTGCAGCAATACAAATTAGTTTCCACATTAAGTACTTCACATTAAGCAACATAATTAAGCAAAGAATTGCTAAGTAGTATAACTCCAGGAAATTTACATTATGGGTCTTTATATCCAAGTTGCTATAAAGCGGGGATAGGGAGCCTCTGGCCCAAGGGCCAAATGTGGCCCTCCAAGCCTCTGTCTAGCCCTTGTGACTTTCCCAACAGCACACCCCTTGCCCTTCAGCAGCCCTGCTTCACATCTTCTTTCAGTTTTTGCTTGGCCCAGAACAGGCAATTAAACGGCTATGTCTGTGAGCACTTAAAAAAGGATGCTGTGATTACTGAGATCCAGCATGGGTTTCTCAAAAACAAGTCATGCCAGACAAACCTCATTTCTTTTTTGGTGTTTCAGGGGAATGCCATGGCCATAGTATATTTTGATTTCAGTAAGATTTTCCCCATGATATCATGGAGAAGTTAGTAATGGTTCCTCGTCATCCTGAAAAAAGTGACAAGTTGGTGCCACAGGATTCTGTCCTGGGCCTGTTGTTGTTCACCATCTTTATAAATGACTTGGCTTGGATGAAGGAATTGAGGGTATGCTCATTAATTTGCAGATGACACCAAACTGGAAGGGATAGCTAATGCTACAGAAGACAGAATTGGGATTAAAACTGACCTTAACAGATTAAAGAACTGGGCCCAAACAAACAAAATGAATTTCAATAGGGACAAATGTAATCTTATACACTTAGGCAAGAAGAACCAACTGCACAAATATAAGATGGGGGACACCAGGCTTGCCAGTAGTATATGCAAAAAGGATCTAGGGGTCTCAGTAGACCACAAGCTTAACATGAGTCAACCATCTGATGCAGCAGTAAAAAAAGCTAATGCTATTCTAGGCTACGTCAACAGAAGTTTAGTGTCTAAATCAAGGGAAGTAATAGCACCACTATTCTGTCTTGGTCAGATGACACCTGGAGTACTGTCTCCAGTTCTGGGCACCACCATTTAAGAAGGATAATGACAAGCTGGAATGAGTGCAGCAGAGGACAACCAAGATGATAAAGGGTCTGGAAACCAAGTCTTATGAGGAAAGGTTGGGGGAGTTGGGTATGTTTAGCATGGAAAAGAGGAGATATGAAGGCCATCTTCAAATATCTAAAGGGCTGTCACATGGAAGAAGGAACAAGCTTGTTTTCTCCTCCAGAGGATAGGACCAGAACCAATAGATTAATGTTACAACAAAGAAGATTCCAATTGAACATTAGGAATAACTTTCTGATGGTAAAAGCTCTTTAACAGTGGAATGGACTCCCTCAGGTGGTGCACTCTCCTTCATTGGAGGTTTCTTAGCACAAATTGGATGGCCATCAGTACTTTAGTTGAGATTCCTTAATTCAGGCTTCCTCAACCTTGGCCCTCCAGATGTTTTGAGACTACAATTCCCAGCATCCCTGACCACTGGTCCTACTATCTAGGGATGACGGGAGTTGTAGGCCAAAAGCATGTGGAGAGCCAAGGTTGAGGAAGCCTGCCTTAATTGCAGGTGGCTGGAGTAGATGACCCTCAGAGTCCCTTTCAACTCTACAATTCTACGATTTATATCTTAGTGTTTGAGCCACTAGATTGTGATGTACTGAATATATTTTACACACAAGATCACATTCGCTCGGGTTGCACATTAACGGTAATCTGAACAATTTCTTGGCACAAATGTACAAGCATTTAGACTCCTAGAGGAGAGATTGCTGGCACTTTGCTCTTGGTCTAGTCTTCTGCAGCTGTGAGCTAAGCCATGGTTTAACCTAGTAAGTCATCTGACCCTGGGCTCATAGTTTGTCCCCTCCAGGCAAATCATAAGCTGTAAGCCAAACAAAACTCGGTTACAGCTCATGGTTTCTTGGGAATGAAAACAAACCACAAGCCTTGCTTCATACAACATGCTCCAGGACTGAAGAAGCAAAGGAGCCACAATCTCCATTTGGACCAACCCATGGTTTGGCTTAGGTGTTATGTATAAACTGGATCACAAATTTAAAGCAGAAGCTTGTCTTTTGTGTATGTATGCACACACACACACACACACACACACTTCTAAAGGCCTGGTTATTTTCTTATGTTTACAGCCTTAGTAATTTTTAAGAATGTATATATTCACTGGAAAAGGCAGAGGGAGTCTCTCTTTTTTTTTTTTTTTTGTAAAATAAGATTTTTAAAAAATCAAACTTTGCTGTATTTTACAGAGGATGACAAAGTAATGTATTATGACCATGATGATAGCCCAGTAATTATAAATACAGAGTGTGCAATATAAAAGGAAATAAGCACTTTTGATTTATAACATCCAGGTTTTACTTCAAAATGTTTTGTCAGGTTCATATTACAGAATTGTTTTAGTATGAATATGGAAGTGTTAAAATATTATAATGAGCTGGCATCATTCCATCTGAGCAAAAGTGTTGCTTTTGTGCTCAGGATAAAGCCTGTTGCTATTATTTATTTAAAATAAAGCCTGTTCTGTCAACTTGCCAGCCTGTTTGTGACAGTCATTTTTTCAAAAAAAAGACAGATGCCCAAGCATAAGCTTATCAATCAAACTGAGTTACCCATACTGAATTGCCTATACACTCCAAATAACCCATTTCATTATTATACTGTGAAACACCACCACTGCATTAGAGAGTTGTCATAAACTTCCATAGTTATTTTACTGAGTGGAATCTCGCCTGCAAAGAATTTATTATTGTCCACATATATGTGTGCAAGGCTGAAGTGCAAAACACTGTTTAAATATTATAAAATCAGCTGCTTCCATCTCACGACAAGCACAAACTTTTTCATCTTTATATATAATATAATGCAATGGGAATTTGCTTACAGATGACTTTGTGAATTCCATTTTATAGCAGTGGCACCTAAGCTAATTCTCAGAAATATAACCACATTCACTTGGAAGTTCTATTTTTTTAAAGTGTCACTACCTTTAAAGTAAATAAACTTAGATGGTGGGGGTGTCAGCTTTTGAATTACTCCAGCACACGGACTCTTAGAACACTGGTACCCTACATTCACCCTAAGATTCACAGCAACCAAGAATTTTGGAGATCTATAGAGAGGACAGAAAGAGAAAAATTCAATTACAATTTATGGTGATGTGCTGAAGCCAAGGGGTCTGCATCTGGAAAAATCAAGCACTAAATGCTGATCTATGCTTGTTGAACTAAAGAACCTTAAAGGTTTCATCTGTTTTTCGCAGGTTAAAAATGACCAAACCAAAATCAGTTGGAAAGATCCAGTAATGAAAAAAGAAATATTAAATTAAAATTCAAAACAACAGAACCCGGAAGGCCATGTGTCACAGGATTGTTTCTATATATAAACAAAATCCAAGAGGTATTAAAGCTCCTAGCCTTCCGGCTAAAAATTAAGAGTGCAGAATAATAATTTGAATATAAATAAATGTTTGTGAAGCTCCTCATCAACATATTTACCCTTCACAG